AATATTTACCATAGATATTACTCCCTTTTATAAATATTGTTATTATTATTATTGAGTTTTCTCGAATCTCATCACGTTGTCTTTTCATCTGTTACTGAGGATTTGCCATTATTTACTGTTTTTTGTTGCCTGCTCTTTGTGAGTTGTAGGTGACAAATGTTAAATTCGGTTTAATCGTGTTAGGCACACCTCCTAGCATATTTATGTTATTACTTTTCTTTTTATTACAACTAACTTGGTTACATTTTAATTATGGTACCAATACTTTAGCTATTTATTGTACGATTTAAATGTTTGTTATTTATTACTATTCATTATTTTATATCTTCATAAACATTAGTTTTTTTGTTGGTATGTCTTTATTGTACCGATACTTGACTCTGTAGCTAACCAATCACATGTATCGTAGCAATTTATCTCAGATGCCAGGCTACACTAGGAAAAATGTGCTGTGCTAGCTATGGTTGAAGCATTCAATATACTACCACTCTTAATGTTATAATTACTGAACTACTTTATATGCTTTCCAGGAAACAATAAAAGCTGAAATATACTCAATGAAACCAGTTATTTGGTATTATATTATACTTAAAAGCATATTAACATATCACGGTAACTTTTTCTGAGCTTTTTGTCTTCAATATATTTCACATGTATGGAAATCCACTTGAATTCTTTATTTTTTTTAATGTTGCAAGGAATAGCTAATTCAATTTAATTAACAATAATGTATGTGCAAGATATTTCAAAACTTAACAAGGGGTGAACATAAGTTTTATATATTTAAATGTCAGAGTAGTGTACAAAGATAAGGACGTTGTAACGTATAATGTATATACATTCCTACAGCGTCATAACCGGAGAATGGAAAAGTTGTCAAAGTAAAACTAAATAAATAAATGAAAGTTATCATATTCTATGCATTATATATGACTGAAAAAAAACTTAATACCAAAAATAAACGAGACACTTACCTTTCCCAAGCGTGTATTTCGCTAAAACAACAAAAATAAAGCACCTTAACACTCTTAAAACAGTAATGCAGTTTTTACAGTATCTAATTCACACATAGATTTGAAACTTCGTAGTGACAATGTATACATTTTTATTTTTTAATTATTCTTTACAACTTTATAAAACTAATTTTAATTTTATCTAACTTAAAATTGTACAATTTTAGCTAATGAAAAAAATCTATAGTTAAGGAGGGATTATGTAGTTAATTACAAAAAAAAATGTTTCAAACTTTAATACCACATATCTTTGTTCATAAAAAAAAAAGATTTCGGAATTAATAAATTTAAACATGAGAAAATGCAATGAGTTCCCATAAAAAATCAAACAACGATATATATATACATATTAGCTATCAGTTTAAAGCCTTGTGACGCGAAAACATGTACGTAAAAACCAGATTGGTTGGGCTTAATTAGCCACTATGTATTTGCAAACTATGCATATTGATTTTTAAGTGAGATAAAGGTGTACTAATGTGAATTATACAACTGATAAAACACAATGGTTAAGGTGAGTGCGGATCTAGGATCCTTCCTCCCCTCGCTAAGAAGAGCCCCATACCTATGTGTGACAAAGGACCAAGAGGAGTTTAAACAGTATCATAAAATAAATGAAACTGTGTGGAGGACCTACAATGAGGAGCGTACGATTTTACGCGAAAACTTATCTAGGGCATGAATATAATTGGGGCAAACTATCCAAAATTCGGTGATAGTTCAGAAAATATTATAGTGGATAGTGGATAAAATAAACTGTGTGGAGGACCTACAATGAGGAGCGTACGATTTTACGCGAAAACTTATCTAGGGCATGAATATAATTGGGGCAAACTATCCAAAATTCGGTGATAGATCAGAAAATATTATAGTGGAGAGTTGATAAAATAAGCTGTGTGGAGGACCTACAATGAGGAGCGTACGATTTTACGCGAAAACTTATCTAGGGCATGAATATAATTGGGGCAAACTATCCAAAATTCGGTGATAGTTCAGAAAATATAGCGAAGAGTTGATTTTTTTAAAAGTTTTCTATGAGGAAAAAGTTAGTGGGGTGAGCATTTCCCACCCCACCCCAACTCCACTTTAGTCACTGGATATATTCTGCACTGATTTGAATTGCACAGTTTACGTTGCAGGCTTATTGCACTGTTTCTTGATAAATGTTGCCGACTGTAAAAATAGATAATAGTTGTAAAACTCAGCTACCTTGAACGTTCACAACGAACCCAATCTCATCAGCTCCGTGAGTATTTCGTACATGGCAGGTGTAGTTTCCGGAGTCACTTTCTGCAGCACTTGGGATAATGAGAGATCCATTGGCTAACACACGTACTTTACTTCCTTTTACTGCAATTGGTTGACCCCTTCAGTGGAAGTTTTGCAATAATAACAAAATCAACAATGTCAGAAATAATACTCCTAGACACGAACTGATAATAATGACATATAGTCTTTGGTAATTATTTACTACTCATATACTAGAACTGATAACAATGACATATAGTAATTATTTACTACTTCTAGAAAAGAGCTGATAATAATGTCATATAGTCTTTAGTAATTATTTACTACTCCTATATTAGAACTGATAATAATGACATCTAGTCTTTACTAATTATTTACTACTCCTAAACAAGAACTGATAATAATGACATCTAGTCTTTACTAATTATTTACTACTCATAGAAACGAACTGATAATAATGACATCTAGTCTTTAGTAATTATTTACTACTCCTAGAAACGAACTGATAATAATGACATCTAGTCTTTAGTGATTATTTCGTACTCCTATACTAGAACTGATAATAATGACATCTAGGCTTTACTAATTATTTACTATTTCTAGAAAAGAACTGATAGTAATTTCATCTAGTCTTTAGTAATTATTTATTTCCTATACTAGAACTGATAAGTTAATACAAAATTAAATACTCTAGGTGTTTAAAAATGCATTTATCACGTGCTATAACAAATGAAATCGGATGAAGCTCAAACGATTCTTTTTCGTACTTGAAATATTAGGTTATTGAGTTCTAAATAATTAATTTTTGATTCGTTAATTTCAAATTTTTACTATTCTGGTGAGCAAATTGTTGCGTTATCGTGAGAACTTTCAGTATTTCGTAATTTTAACACGTTTTAGATTATCCATCTAAGATTATTTTTCGAAATTTCTTCACAAAAAATAGTATTTTTATTTCTCTTTTAAAGGAAAAATGTAAACTATAAATTTAACTGTTTATACTATTTTTAGGGGGGGGGGTCTATCATTTTAAAAAGTTTCAGTGCTTTATTATTTGTTCGACGTACATTTTTAAAGGGAAAAAATCAATTTCAACTTATATTTTTATACATTAAAGCTGTGAAGACTAATAGACTGACTAATTAATGACCACATTAGTGCTTAGTACAGTTATTTAGGCCTTACTGAAATGTGCCAAACTTCGTGTGGTGTTGGTGTAAGTCCAAAATAAATCTCAACTTCGACTTTGTGCAAACTTGGTCTATTTGAGTTTTTAATACTAAGCTGTTGTGAGATTAACTTAATTACTTGTTAGTATTTTTGATTAGCACTCATGTGTGGGTGTGTAAGAATGTATACGTCCAGACTAAATTTTATTAGGGAAACGCGTAAATATTTTATCTTGAGTAGTACATGCTGCTTTCCTTAAAACACCGTAAATATTTTATCTTGAATAGCACATGCTGCTTTCCTTAAAACACCGTAAATATTTTATCTTGAATAGCACACGCTGTTTTCCTTAAAATACCGTAAATATTTTATCTTGAATAGCACATGCTGCTTTCCTTAAAACACCGTAAATATTTTATCTTGAATAGTACACGCTGCTTTCCTTAAAACACCGTAAATATTTTATCTTGAATAGCACACGCTGCATTCCCTTAAAACACCGTAAATATTTTCTAAAAACATTACAGTTTTTAAGTTCAGTATATAAAGAATAACACGTTTAATTAATTTGAGTTATATACAATTGTGATATGCAAATGGTTAAAGGTAATTTCATAAAATATGATACAGATTCAAATGGATTGAAAGTATAATCAATTGAAATAATGTAAGTCTAGAAAAAAAATGAAACTTAACCAAAATAAATCAAATAATAAAAAGAAACGTTAAGAATAGCGTCTTGTTTCAAACGATTACACTTCGAGAAAGGCATATCACAAAACGTTCATAATGTACATTATCGACTCATGCGCTACTAAACTCTATAGAAGCCGTTGTCGTCGCCACTAAATGGTTCGCTAGTTATTGGTAGGCGTGCTAATAATGACAACCGGCCTTAACTGTAAACGCTAATAACCCGACGAATTGTTGGTATGCTTGTTAACAATGACTAACAATCATAGTTGTAAACGCTAATAACCCGACTTATTGTTGGTATGCGTGCTAACAATGACTAACAATCACAGTTGTAAACGCTAATAACCCGACTCATTGTTGGTATGCGTGCTAACAATGACTAACAATCGCAGTTGTAAACGCTAATAACCCGACTCATTGTTGGTATGCGTGCTAACAATGACTAACAGCCATAGCTGTGAACGCTAATAACTCAACTTGTTGGCGGTAAGCGTGCTAATAATGACTAACAACCGATATATGAACTTTTAAGACAACGCAAAATAACTTGTTAAAAGAGATAACGTCGGAAAAACGAATTTATTTTCTGAAAAGCGATGTTTCAAGTATATACCCTTCATCAGGCTTAGAGAACTAAACAAAGGTTTTTTAAGCCTTACGAAGAGTATATACCCGAAACGTCACTTTTAAGGAAATTATTTCGTTTTTCCGAATATGCTTCTCTTAAAGAGCTATTTTATGTATCCTGAATCGTATAAACAACGCCAGTGGAACTTTATCTAAAATATTTAAGCTTTGGGCAGTTTGTTTTCATGTATTTTAGTGTTTAATAATATGTGTTGTGTTTTGAAATGTCTTTTACTCCTACCATTGCTGTAATATAAACTTCAACACCATATGAGGCCTAGTCTTTTTTTTTTTCAAATTTGCCCTTTTCCAGGATTACTGATGAAGAGTAGAGTTCCCTGACACCAGTATAATTCAGTGGCATATGATAATTTAAATAATTTGTTTTGTTTCTTTGTTTAAAAACAAAGCCACATTGAGCTATCTGCTGTGTCAACCGCGGGGAATCGAGCCGCGGATTTTAGCTTTACAAGTCCGAAAATTTACTGCTGTCTCACCAGAGGACGGTAAATCAAATCATGTTGGGCTTCGCATTTACTTTTTACTGTTTAATAACGTTTTACGGTCTTCGTGGTTTGTACGTTCAGTTGCTAAAAAATAAAACAATGGTGAGCATTCAATAAATTTTGAGCAATACTCGAAACATCTGACGTTACTACTAACAGAATGAAATACGTTTTTGGACACAAAGAAGAAAAATTTAAATAATTGGTGTTATCCATATTTACTAAACTTTCAAACGACTACAGTTCAACAGAGAAATAATATAATAGCCAATAGTAGAGATTCGGAATCCATGTTTATAACGTCTAAAGAAGTGGCATTTTTTCTAGCGAAATTAGCCATCAAGAAATATATAACTATAACAGTAATAAATATATAATTATATTAGACGTGACGAGCCATATATTTTTTTATTTCTATTTGGCTTTTCAAACACAAATGAGAAACAAAACAAAATCCAGCTACATTTTTCTTTTCTTTTTTTAGTGTAAGAGTAATTTTCCTCTTGATTTATTCAATTTTATAAAAAATCACTTTACAGCTTGTATTATGCCTCTTTACCTGAATGACCACTCTCGGTGTGGAGTCGGAATTCCTACAGCTAAACAAGGCAAATGGGCTTCAGATCCACGGCTAATTGCCAGATGCTCAGAAAACGAAGCTATCCTTGCAGGTGCTATAAAAAATGAGATCCGAATATAATTATAAAACTGCTCACTTGTGAAATGTTTTTCAGTTGCTATTTAGTTATTTCAATTGACCTAGTCTCAAACAAAACGAATTTTATTGTGTAAAAAAATTCCATTTAACATATTATACACAATCTGGTGCCCAAGGTGTGTATTGTATTGTAAATGAACCACAAAACTTGGCCTCAGTTTCATCTTAACGTATTTTAGGTGAAAAAAATTAATGTGGATTTGAAACTTTCGATCATCAATATGTGCCAATAGCAAAATGTCATTATATGCAACAACTCCGATTTACAAGTCTGCATTGGCGAAATGGCGATTTTTATCCCAAACTTTGGATCTATTAGTTTTAAATACTTAGCCAACTTTCCGCATTCAAACTACAACTTTATAGACTTTTTATACTGCATATATAAATGGTATTTAAGAGAAAGTTTCGTCCATCATCATCCAGCCCATCTGACGAGTTTTATTACTGAACAAAAGACCTCCTGGTTGGTGACATGCGAGAGGCAGAAATATATACGAATTTCTATTTTACACATCTCTGATTTGAAATCTGTAATGGGCAAGTTAAGATTAATGTGTGAAGAAAGAATAATATGTGAAGTCTAGCATGGTTTGTATTACAAATACTGGGCCTTTTGGGTGTTAGTGCCTTGTCAGCTTTTCGTGTTCAACTTTAAAAATGTAACTTCTTTATTGTCTGACATGCTTCAGATGAATAATAGTTTCTGTGGTTGAGTTCAATATTGTACTTTATGCAAACATTAGAATCAATCTTCAATATTGTGTTTCAGATCAAGCAGTATAATTTAAACTAGACATTTACGATATCATTGTAGGCTAACAATAAAATCTCCCTCCCATATCGTTTAACATATTTTTAGTGAAAAGAAGATTTTGATCTCTAAAATACATTCAAGTAAAACAACATTAAATAATAAATAAAGTAAAACAACATTAAATGATAAATAAAGTAAAACAACAGCATATAATAAATAAAGTAAAACAACATCAAGTAATACATAAAGCAGAATCAGGAATACAGACAGTGCCTATATCTTTCAGAAAACTGTGTATAACATTTTACTAGAACAATATAATCTGCCCTCCTTGTGGTACGTGAATAATATAATCTGCCCTTGTTATGGTACGTGAACAATATAATCTGCCCTTGTTATGGTACGTGAACAATATAATCTGCCCTTGTTATGGAACGTGAACAATATGATGTGCCCTCCTTATGGTGCGTGAACAATATAATCTGATCTTCTTATGGTACGTGAACAACATAATCTGTCCTTCTTATGGTACGTGAACAATATAATCTGCCCTTGTTATGGAACGTGAACAATATAATCTGCCCTTGTTATGGTACATGAACAATATAATCTGCCCTTCTTATGGTACGTGAACAATATAATATGCTCTCCTTATGGTACGTGAACAATATAATCTGCCCTTGTTATGGTACGTGAACAATATAATGTAATGTACTAATAATGTCTGTAAAGACATACAGATAATAATATGAAAGATTACCTAACATTTAACACAGCTGACACAGAAATATTTCTCATGATTGAATGAGGCCTGGCATGGCCAGGTGGTTAAGGCACTCGACTCGCAATCTGAGGGTCGCGGGTTCGAATCCCCGTCACACCAAACATGCTCGCCCTTTCAGGCGTGGGGGCGTTCTAATGTGACGGTCAATCCCACTATTCGTTGGTAAAAGAGTAGCCCAAGAGTTGGCGGTAGGTGGTGATAACTAGCTGCCTTCCCTCTAGTCTTACACTGCTAAATTAGGTAGCCCTCGTGTAGCTTTGCGCGAAATTCAAAAACAAAACAAAACAAAAAAAATAATAATTGAATGAATTAATTTGAATATTTCAGTCACAAGAATGACAAATTAACTTGGAGGAGAGAATATTCTCTTAATGTTTAAAAAGATGTTCTCTTAATGTTACCCAATATTTACTACTTGTTTTGGAGGTAAAAACTTTCGTTTATTGCATTAAAACGATTGACACAAGTGCTTTTAAATGTGAATTCATGAACTTTTCAATAGATAATAAGAAACAAAAAACATCGTTCGGGTTTTGTTAAGGTTTTGTCTTTTCGTGTCTTAAAGAATGGCCAACTTACTTGTTTCTGAAGTGGTTTGTGACAAGACTCGTGTTGATTCACCTTCCCCAATATTTGTGGAGGCAGTCAACCAGAATTCATATCGCTTGTTTTTCTCGAGGTTCGAAACTTTAAAGTGGCTTTTAAATGGATCCACTCGATGATAAGTGGTGTCCTGAACATTAAAAAAAGCCAACGTTATATATATCTAAGGAAATATATTTATAATATTTTGGACAGACGCCAAAGGTAAAAAAACAAATGTATACTATTTTATTTGTTGTTGTTGTTGGTTGTACTTGTGAATCGTATTTTCATCTTCGAAAATGATAAATGAAAGTTCTTTGAAAGGCACTTAAAAGGAATCTCTATTCAGAATGTTAAAGTTTATGGTCGAATTACAATTGTAATTCTTCTTTTACATCATATCTATAAATGTAACAACCACAAAGAGACTCTGGAGTAATAATAATAAAACAGAGGCAGACCTACTGAAAATAAAAACACAAGAGTACTCTTTTATAAAGACAGCGTTTATTTTGAGCCAGTGGGAACTAAGATATAGTTTAGAATAGCTGAATGCATTTGTTAGTCGTTAAGCACAAAGGCACCCAATGGGCTGTCTGTGCTTTTTCCACCACGGCTATCGAATCCAGATTTTAGCATTGTAAGCCCTCAGACTTATCGCTGAGCCACCGAGCTGAATATGTTACTTGCTATCTATATTGAATACTTACCTGAAGACCACGGAATAACGATCTTTGATACAAAGTGTAGTGTTGAATAAGACCGTTAGGCTGTGTTGGTGGTCTCCACGACACTAAGATGCCATTGGAAAACATGGGAATAGCTTTGATATCAGCAGGAGCACTCGGAACTAGAAATTTAAAAATAACTCACAATACACAAGTGTAGAAACAGCATATAAGGATAATGTCCACCTTTAAATAAAGACTAGTATTATCCTTACAGACCGTAAGGATAAAGCCCACCTTTAAATAAAGACCAGTAGTATCCTTACAGACCATAAGGATAAAGTCCACCTTTAAATCTAGACTAGTAGTATCCTTACAGACCATAAGGATAAAGTCCACCTTTAAATAAAAACTAGTAGTATTCTTACAGACCATAAGGATAAAGTCCACCTTTAAATAAAGACTAGTAGTATTCTTACAGACCATAAGGATAAAGTCCACCTTTAAATAAAAACTAGTAGTATTCTTACAGACCATAAGGATAAAGTCCACCTTTAAATAAAGACTAGTAGTATCCTTACAGACCATAAGGATAAAGTCCACCTTTAAATCTAGACTAGTAGTATCCTTACAGACCATAAGGATAAAATCCACTTTTAAATAAAGACTAGTAGTATCCTAACAGACCATTAACTTTAAAGGATGACCATTAATCCACATTACAGTTAACTTAAGTTAATCTGATGAGGCAGACGATTCCATTTTGGTGTGCATTCAGTGAGCTCAGATCAGGTGGAGAATTTTAAACACAACATTTACGTGTGCTATTTTGTCTAAATACTAACTATTGTTCAAAACATCTGTACGATCACCTCACGGATATAATCTCAAGCTTTTTAACTATCTACATACTAAGTCACGGGCTTATTAGTTTATCAAATACGGCAAAGTGGATATTCTGTTAGTGATTAAGTAAAAAAAAGATAAATTAAATTAAAATACCGTCCGGTAAGGTCCGACAGTACACAGGTTCGCTCGAAACGCCATCTCCTTCTCTCGTGAAAGCTAAGACCCATAAACTATAGTTGGTAAATTTTTTCAAATCTTGTACTGTAGTTACTGTTGCATCGTCTTTGAGAACAAGTGGAGAAACCAAACGATCTAAAAATACACAAAGTTTGATGTTAGCTAAATTACGGACTGCTGGCTCTAAATTTCTTAGACGGATAGCTTAATTCGAATCCGGAATTTCAGTAATTAGGATAATTACGCTAGGCCTTACATTATACCTTAAATCTTACATTCCAATAACAATTTCTGTTCAATAATAGGTAAATATGAATCTGAAAATCAGTTCGTACACATCTGTATGTATATTGGTAAGTATGACGATATAAAATCACATTTAAAAATAACTTAGTATTTGATACGGAATTATTACTGTACGATGAAATATACGAGTAGATTGGGCAATGACGTCATTCTGTTTAGGTTACGTATACGTGAAAATGATTATAGTGATATTAAATGTGAAAGTCATGACGTCATTCTGTCTAATAGACTAGAAGAAAGCAGCTAGTCAACAGCACCCACCGCCAACTTTTGAGCAACCTTGCATCCATAGCACCAAAGTGCAGAGCGCACACTTTTGCAAAAACTGGACGCGAACCATTGCCTCTCAGATTCACACTTCGGCACGCTAACCATAGGCCACGCCCAGTCTATCATTCCAGGTATCTGCTTATTTCAGATACATAATCAATACGCTCAAGTCTTTAAAACCAGGTGTCTCAGATAATATACTAAATAAATAACAAGTTCTTTGTCTTTCAAGATCTGTTCGAAGCAAGTTAAAGAAGACCATTTCTTCTCGATGTTAATAGAGTGTTACCAGTCATATATTCAATCATGTGACGACCTATGTTCGACAACAGTGTATCTAATTTCATTGTACTACCATAGTAATTTATCATAACCACAGTAATTTATCATTTACCATAGTAATTTATCATAACGCTAAGATTTAAATTTTCACTATCGGAAGAGTATATCCTTTTTTTTTGTTTTTTTTTTGTACGTTAAGACGGACGACAGGGCTCCTTTAAGTTTGGTTTGCTTTGTTATGAATTTCGCGCAAAGCTACACGGGGGCTATCTGCGCTATCCGTCCCTAATTTAGCAGGGAAAGACTAGAGAGGAAGGCAGCTAGTCATCATCACCCACCGCCAACTCTTGGGCTACTCTTTTACCAACGAATAGTGGGATTGACCGTCACATTATAACGCCCCCACGGCTGAAAGGGCGAGGATATTTGTTGTGACGGGGATTCGAATCCGCGACCCATAGATTGCGAGTCGAACGCCCCTTAACCACCTGGCCATGCCGGGCCGGCTCCTTGATATTTGCTCTCTCTTCTCAACTGATTTGGTTAGGGCGCTCGACTCGCAATGTGCGGTTCGTGGGCTCTCTTATGTGTATCCCTACCGCTATGTGGGTCCTATTTCTGCAGACACCTTCTAAAACCAGGTCATCTTACACCCCTGTGCCCTGGTGACTTTGTTTTGTTGTGCAGCGTTTTAGTTAAGAATAGTTTTGTATTATAAATATGTCATATATATATATATATAATATTTATGTCTGTTAAACACACACACCCAATAGCGGTAAAAATTAAATTCCTGCTGATATTCATTGTTACTATTGCCTTTCAACAGAAGCACATTGTTTAGTGGTAGTTTGTTATTTGTTTGTTTGTAGTTAAACACAAAGCTACACAATGGGCCATTTGTGCTCTGCCCACCACGGGTATCGAAACCCGGTTTCTAGCGTTGTAAGTCTGCAGACATTCCGCTGTGCCACTGGGGAGTGGTAATTTCTTAAGGAGTGGCTTGTTTCCATTTCGAAATCTGGCAACAATGCTGCCTTCTTTCTGGTCAGTTGTTCAAAATTAGGAACATCGGTAAATAGACTGAGTCGCTTTGCCATAAATACAAAATATGAATACAGACATAAGATAATTCCTAACAATAGGCGTTTTCTCATTAAACTCACTATTGAACTTCTTTGAAATATTTAAAAAAAAGCATTCACTTAAACTTTTAAAATAATATTTTAAAAAATGTTAACAAAACACTGTATCGATTTGCCTCTAATGTAGAGTTCTTAACAACGGGCTGATATCGATTTAATTATTTAAAAATATACTGTATAACTATGAGACATCTTCAAGTTATTTCTCCAAAGGTCGTTTGTATTTTCCCAAAGGTCGTTTTATTTTTCCAAAGGTCGTTTGTATTTTTCCAAAGGTCGTTTGTATTTTTCCAAAGGTCGTTTTATTTTTCCAAAGGTCGTTTGTATTTTCCAAAGGTCGTTTGTATTTTCCCAAAGGTCGTTTGTATTTTCCCAAAGGTCGTTTTATTTTTCCAAAAGTTGTTTGTATTTTTCTAAAGGTCGTTTTATTTTTCCAAAGGTCGTTTGTATTTCCCCAAAGGTCGTTTTATTTTTCCAAAGGTCGTTTGTATTTTTCCAAAGGTAGTTTGTATTTATACACTAATACTAGCTATCTATTCAAATTATCATTTCTAATTATGTACTGATATTAAGTTATCTATTTTTCTAGTAATATTTTACTTATTTTAAAAGACAACTGTATAAAGTAAAGTAGAAAAACGTTGAAGCTTTATGGATGGTTTATTAGTCGTTATCTGTTAAAGGTTGTTTTTAACGTAACTGCAAAGACCAAACAATAAATGCTCCTCTCTAAAAATGAGAACTATTTCGGACTTGTCAATAAAGCTTCTGGCAAATTGTGAATCACAGAATTATATGTTCCCTACATTCGGTAGTCCTTACTGAAACCATGTTTTTTGTAGTCAGTTAACTCAGTTTATCCCCAACAAACTTTTTTCCATAACCTTTTGTCATAACCTTTTGTCATAACCCTTGCGTCTTTGTGATCGAACGTTTTATTTTCGTTTTTACTTTTCCCTAACAAGGGGGAGGAAAAGATTAGTAGACCAATTCAGATATAAAAAGGAAATAAAACATTAAAACAATAATAAAGGCGACTAATGATTCACAACAAGAAAATAAACATGACACAAATGAACACGAGCAAATAAACCACGAATAAAAAATGACAATATTATAAAACTCCAAAAGAAAAAGAAAACAAACAAATTCTCGCAAAAAGTGCCTTTTATCTTTTTTTTTTTCTTTCTGCGAGTGTAGTTTTGGAAAATAACAAATAATTTCAACAAGTGAAAACGTGACTTTAAAACTCATTTTATTTTATATATATTATAGTTTTTCTTCGATAGGTTTTTGAAACGTTTTTCATACGTTATTACAGTATAGTGTGGTCCCTCTGTACCTCACCTGCCCCCCAGTGGCACAGCGGTATGTCTGCAGACTTACAACGCTAGAAACCGGGTTTCGATACCCGTGGTGGGCAGAGCACAGATAGCCCTTGTGTAGCTTTGTGCATAATTAAAAAACAAACAAACTGTACCTTACCTTCTGTAACTTGGTATCGATAGAACTAAAGTGTGGAAAATCTGGCAAAGAAGACATTCCAAAAATGGCATACTTCTACCTGGATTACTTTCGGAGATCAGGGTTAATGCCTTTAAAACAAGAGCTTGACCGACATGATTCCATTAGTTTATATACAATTCATTAAACTTACCATAAAACAACGTCACTGGTCTATAGAAAACTTTGTATCCTCTTAGGACACCATTAATGGATGTCTGTGGTGGAGACAGCCACGTAATCGTTATGCTTTGCGACGTCAGAGGCATACATTTCACACTTCTTGGAGGGAGTGTGGGCACTAAAGAAATTTAAATAAATGTTCATAATAAGTTCAGTTATGTTTTCTATGTATGAATACTAACTATTATGAATATATAATGGAGGGAATGGTTACAAACTGTCAATATATATATATATATATTAGGAATGTTATAATCATGAGAAATTGTAATAAAAATATCAAGTTGTCTTTAATTGCTATGTCTCAATTTATATATACAAGAAAACAAATGAAAATATGATTATATTTGTGGAATTTTATTTTTTATTTGTCAAGACCTTTTCTGTCAATAACAGAATGGTACCAGAATTATTCATTTTTATCAAGCTCTTTCCTATCAATAACAGAATAATACCAAAACAATTACCTTTTATCAAGCTCTTTCCTATCAATAACAGAATAATACCAAAACAATTACATTTTATTAAGCTCTTTCCTATCAATAACACAATAATACCAAAACAATTACATTTTATCAATCTCTTTCCTATCAATAACTGAATAATACCAAAACAATTCCCTTTTATCAATCTCTTTCCTATCAATAACAGAATAATACCAAAACAATTACATTTTATCAAGCTCTTTCCTATCAATAACAGAATAATACCAAAACATTTACTTTTTACCAAGCTCTTTCCTATCGATATGCCTGTTTGTGTACAAAAACTTTAAAATGTTTATAAAAACCAGTTAACATTATCAGTACCGACATATTGATAACCTCTACTATTATGTCTGCGTAGGCTTTGCTGCCGTGTAATCTATGTGTACCGGTGTTCCAATTTCAGACTGTCTCTGTAGAATAGTATTATGTACCGGTGTTCCAATTTCAGACTGTCTCTGTAGAATAGTGTAATGTACCGGTGCTCCAATTTCAGACTTTCTCTGTACAATTGTATTATGTACCGGTGTTCCAATTTCAGACTGTCTCTGCAGAATAGTATTATGCACCGGTGTTCCAATTTCAGACTGTCTCTGTAGAATTGTATTATGTACCGGAGTTCCAATTTCAGACTTTCTCTGTACAATTGTATTATGTACCGGTGTTCCAATTTCAGACTGTCTCTGTAGAATAGTATTATGCACTGGTGTTCCAATTTCAGACTGTCTCTGTAGAATA